GGACTCCCCAGAGACCTGGGGATTTGGAGGCCTCCCAGGCCTCTTCTAACCCCGTCTTCTCTCCTTTGCAGGCCATCCTGATCACCTGGACAAAGAGATTTAAAGCGAGTGGAGTGGAGGGAACAGATGTAGTGAAGCTGCTTGAAAAAGCCATCAAAAAGCGAGGGGTAACTTTCCCCTAGCCACTTGCCTTGGCCACTTGGAGGTGGGGGAGTGTGGGGACCAGTAGTACAAGGCCCGAGGCATCACATGGTGGGGGTTCTTGAAGACATAGGGAGGTGAGCCGTAAGGGTTCACAGTCCGGACGGTTGGGGGTAGTTCAAAGCAGAGCTCTCCACAGTGCTGCCCCAGAGAGCCAAGCCCGTGGGCAGGGGATAGCCTCCTTCCGACAGAAGGGGTGGCCTGTGCAGGGAGCCAGTGAGGTCACGTGCTGCCTGCCAGGGTTGGATCAGGCACAGTCGACACATGGATGCAGTGGGCTGGTTTGCAGAGGGCTGTGGCTCTGTAAGGAAAACCCACTCTGAAAAGAATCTTAAGCCAGATAATGAAGGGAGCCTTGTCATTTTTATAATTTAATCACTGCGCTCTGATCCAGTGAATTTGATCCAGCAGTTGTGAAACCGGCACCACCCAGGGGGCTGTGGTGGCTGTGGAAACAGGAGCCCTCCCGCCTCTCCGTCTTTAAGGTTGGTGATCTCTGCTCCACGTGTCAGTGGATGGTGACACCCTGTTATCTCTTCCCAGGATTATGATGCTAACATTGTGGCTGTGGTGAATGACACGGTGGGGACCATGATGACCTGTGGCTATGATGACCAGCACTGTGAAGTCGGCCTTATCATTGGTAACGTCCACCTCTGTGCTCATCCCTTCCTGAATCCAGTGTTTCCAGAAGGCACTGCCTCGCCTCCTCTCTTATGACTTTGTGTGGTCACAGCGTCTGGTCTGGTCTCTCTCTCCAAGGCACCGGCACCAACGCGTGCTACATGGAGGAACTGAGGCACATTGACCTGGTGGAAGGCGACGAGGGGAGGATGTGCATCAACACTGAGTGGGGGGCCTTCGGGGACGACGGGGCTCTAGAGGACATCCGCACTGAGTTTGACCGGGAGATAGACCGGGGATCGCTCAACCCCGGAAAGCAGCTGTGAGTCCCACCTTTCCTTACCAGTCATATAGGTCTTAGGGGACACTTAATGGAAGATTTGGGGTGGGAGATGAGAGGGGCAGGATGCCAGGTGATTGCAAAAAGAAAAGCCCTTCAAGTGTGCGTTATCTGTCGCTCCTTTGGAGAGATACACAGCCCTGGAGTCTGTAGCTTTAAAAGCACATTTTAAATGCTTTCTCTTTGTTTAATTACACTCTAATTGTGTCCTTGTAAAATATTTTGAAGACTAAAATACAGAAGCATTAGCATAAAGCTGAGGTTTAAAAACATTTCCATACACTGTCATCGCTAATGTTGCTGCTCAGGGTGGGAGGGGCCACTTGGCGTGCAGGCCGACAGGCCGAGCAGGGAGAGTGTCTTGTTCATTCAGCACACGTGTCTTGTGCACTGATGATGTGCCAGGTCTGTGTAAGGCTCCAGGGATACAGAGTAACACCTTCGTTCCAGGATTTAAGATCTAGTTAGGGGAAGGAAGTCACATGTACAAATATCTGTCGTGCAGAGGAGCAGGTGAAGCCATCTGAGTCCTGCAGACCTTAGGGTGATTCCATGTCACGTATGAGCAGGTGGGTCAGAGCTGATAAAGACTCGGACTTAACGGGGCAAACTGGCCTTGGCCTTAGAGAGCTCTGGCTGCAAAAGTATAAGTGACATTATTCAGGCTGGTATGGGTGTCACTTTGAGCTCCTTACTTCCTGAAGTGCCTGCTCATATTTCTCTGAGATGCTGGCAACATGCATCTGATTGACCTCCCCACTGCCCTATCCTGGAGCTGGATAATGTCGGCTTGCTGAGAAATGCTCACCAACCTTGTTGGCTTAACAGCCCTTATCCTATGTTAGAGAGACACTATGCCAGGGAGTTCATTCATCATTTTGAAACTTGTCACCCAAAAGATCCTCCAGGCTGGCCGATTGGGCTTTCCACCTGATGAGTTAATGGAATTGCATGAATGGCCAGTCCCCCTCCACTGGGAGTGGTGAAGGTGAATATATGAGGTTTCTCACTGAGAGAATCCTGGGTTCTTAGACCCAGCATTGAACATCTCCTTTACATCCTGAGACTGAAGCACCAGCTTGGTAACAAAGAGCCCCAGCGCCAAAGTTCTGACAGCCGAAGTGCTTTTTCCCCTCAATACATTGACCTAAAGCCCAATTCTAAAACCTGCCCCCAGCTGACATAGAGCTATTTACTCTGCCTATTTACACACGTCACTGCAGATCTGTGGATATGTTTGATTATAGGACTGCCTCAAGCACCTCTGGGGTTATTCTGTAATATGTAGCATATGTAGCATATTGTATCTAAAATCCTCAAATCTCCACACTCCCAAGTGCATGTGATTCCAGGAGTTTCAGATAAGAAATCAACCTGTAGTTACTATGAATCACTTAAGCAGAAGTCCTCCTTCTCAGCAGAACAGGTAGGGCAGTTACCCGTGATAAATGAACAGATATGGCCCAGACCCTCATCTCTTTCCTTAGCCTCAGTGTAGGGATCCTACTGGGCTTGTGTGGAAACCTGGACTTCTCTGCCATCCATTTTGATATATTTCTGAATTTCTCTAAAGGGCTGAGCTATGTCCCCAGGCTGAACTGTGAACTGGGCTCACAGATGGCTTGTAATAAACGTTTTTGGAGTGGTGGATGGATAGGGGTAGGATGCATGGATGGATGGATGGATGGAGGATGGATGGTGGCTGGGAGGTGGCTGGGAAATGTGTGGGTGGATAGACAGGTGAATGGATAAAAGAGTGAGAAGGGTGAAGTAAAGTCCATCTCCAATATGCTTCCCCGCTTACTGATTACCAAAGGTCGGGTCTTGGGAAGAATAACTCCAAAGAGATGACAGATTCTTGAGTTTCATCGTGTATTCCTAGAAACAGGCTGTTGGCTTGAATTTTTTGCTGAAGCCAAGCTCACTGTTCTCCCAGGCTTCTGCCTGACTTTTGGGGTCTTGCCTACGTCTTCTGTGCAATGCCAAGCTCTTCCTAGCCCCTTTGCTCTCCTTGTACCAGCGAAAGGTATTTGCTCCATTTGACTGATGGGGGAATTAAGGCACTGGAACCCTGGGAAAGGACAAAGCTGGCCCACAACTCTGTTGAGGTTTTATCTGGCTTAAGTTTGGGGTTTTCCATCCTGTTTGACAGTATAAGTTTTTCATAGTGAACTAACAGAATGTCTAAGATCAAAATCACCGAGGATGGTCTAGAGGAATGTTTTTCGTTAGAATTACATAGAGGACTTTAAAAAACATACAGTTGCCCAGGCTCATGCTCCCTCTCGACCCACTTCTCCTTCCCAGTTCTGATTCTGTTGGCCTGGGCTGAGGCCTGTCCTCAGGAGCCTAAAAGTTCCTCAAGTGATTCCAGTTTTTAACCAGGATTGAAAACATAGGCATGTTAGACTTGTGCAAAGGCTCTCAGTGCCCAGGTGGGCTCTAGGCCGCTATGCGCTCACTGATGCGTTTGGACTGAAGTTCACATTTACTGAGTACTGACTGTGTACGGCTGACAGGAAGGGTATCTGTGCAGCAGCTCTGTGGCTCCTGCCTCCGTTGGCGGTTGCTGCTTCCGGACTGTGAGGGAAGGACCCCCACCCTTGCCCCTGAATCAGCAGGTCTCTCTAAAAAGGATCAATCGTCGGCTTCCTCCCTGCCGCCCTCCGTCCTGGGCCTTTGATGTTCTGGTCCCTTACCTGTCTCCTACTGGAGATGTCGGTCCCACCTTCTTTCATTTTTAATTTCCTTTCTCCCTCTTCTGTTTTCTTGGGCTCTTCGTTTTCTCTGTTGTGTCTGGAATTTTGAATCCTATTTTCCTGCAATTCCTTATCACATCTTTCAAAATGAAGGAGACACTGCCCCAGAAAACAGCAGCAGCAGTGATGGTAACAGCGGGGAGTCTTGGCCTGGAGCACGCTTTGGCCTGAATGGTAGTGGAGTAGCTGCGCCTCTTTTCAAGTCAGCCCTTTAGCCCGTTTTCTTACTGTTGCTCTGCCGTCTCCGTAGACACTCTCAGCAGCTCTAATCCTCCCTCATTAGGTGGCCCAGGCCTCTCCCTCCTCTGTCCCTGTGCTGCCCATGGGAGCAGACCCTGGCTGCCAAGGAAGCTGCTGATCGGCGTTCAAGTCCTTGCTGCCCCTGTCTGAGTACAGTCCCCTGCCCACCCTTCCCAGCTCCCCCAGGCCTTGTGGGTCTCAGCCCTGCCTGTGCCCACCAGCAAGCAATGAGCTGCAGCACCACGGTGCCGCCCACTGGCCTGTGGTCCTAGGCATCTGACGGCTGAGAGGCAGATCATGACTTGCTTGGTTTCACTTGAGGCTCATGAGATGTGCTGTTTCCTCCTTCTGCTGCTCCAACAGGGACTCTAGGGACTGAGAAAGGACTGACACCTGGCCTCGGGCTTCCTTTATCTGGAAAGGGGGGGTGGTGGCAGTATCTACATGTCTGAGACACCATTGTGTAGAAAGGGGAGCAGATCATTCTGAGTGTCTCCAGAAGGCAGAGTGAGAAGCAATGGGTAGAGGGGTACCAGGAGGCTAACTTTAGCTCATCCTCGGTGGGGAAGAACCTTCCTATTGTCACACTTGCCCTACTTGGGGGCCGGCTGCCTAGAGGGAGTAAGCTGGAGGTAGAAGAGCAGAGGCTGGGTTAGGGTGGGGCTGGTGGCTGCAAGCATGACAGTAATTGGTCACATTTAATGACACTGTCCATGAGAGAGGCAGAGCAGCGCAATGGCTAGAGCATAGAATCTGGGGCTGGATTTAACTGGGTAAAAAATGTGGTTTTGCCACTGATTAGCTCTATGACACTGGGGAAGTTATATAACCTCCCTGTGCCTCAGCTTTCTCATCTGTGGAATGGGGGTAATGACAGTCTCTGTCTCATAGGGTTGTAATGAGGATGAAATAAATTAATACATGTAAAGTGTTTAGTTACGTATGAGACACATAGCAAGTATTCATCGTTAGCTGGGCACTGCAGCACTTCACCTGTACCAACCCCTGACCTCCGTACCGCAGCCTCACAGGTAGGCCCTGCCATGATCCCCATTATGCAAGTAAAGAAATCGAGACCCGGAGAGGCGGGTAGCAGAGTAGTGGCAGAGCCAGGGTTGAGCCCACGCAGTCTGGCTCCTGCCTTCTCTGAGATTCCAGCTCGGGCTGCACAGAAGCTGTTCCCACAGGTGCTTGGGGCAGCCACCAGGCAGGGCAGCTGGGACTCAGAAAGTTGCTCTCCTGCCAGGGATCCTCGACACAGCCTTGGTGGGGGCGGTCCTGTCTGGTCCTGTCCTGAGCAGAACAATGAGAACTGTGTTTCTCTGCACCCAGTGTTGGGGTGAGGGGGCCACGTGCTCAGGTCCCAGCAGCATCCCTGGCTCCCGGGCCTGGCTCTGAATGAACAGATTGTTTTACTGTGTCACAGCCAGCTCTGGGTGTGCCAGCTGGGCTCCCTCAGAGGAGAGGCTGGCCGCCCGGGCGTGGAGCTGCCTCTGATCTGTCCTGCGCAGGGCTTCCTCCTGGCTCCAGTCAGCTAGGATCCAGGCCTGGATCTGGCTCAGATACAGTCTCGAGCCCCAGTCCCTGGTGGCTTCTCTGCAGTGCTGGGCTCAACATGGCTGCTGCAGTCACAGAGCCCACACCGCCCACCACACCTCCCAGGGGAGGCAGGAGAGCGGATCTGTGGGATTGGCCGGTGGCTAAATGTGGCCAAAGCAGTAGGATAAGCTGATTGGCTTTAAGCTACTCAGAGCCTTCTCCTGGAGTGTAGGGTGAGGTCAGTGAGGAAGGAGAACATGGATGCCAAGGGAGTGACCAGCCACAGAAGTCCCATGTTCCTCATGCTGCATTTCAACCCCATCAGCTCCCTTGGGGAATACCCTTTCTGAGCTGAGAAATGGAGAGAAAACTTCCTGGCCACTTTCACACAGGGGCTAGAGAGCTCCCTGATAGAATGATGAAGAGGAAAGCCCTTTAACAAGTACAGCATGAAGTTTTATAAGAGATGATCGTATTCTACTCATTTCTGTGTGGGTCCTTCTCTTCAATCCTGATCTAAATCCTGATGTTTTCCCCGCCTCCAGGTAGCCTTCCATGCCTGCCCCCACCCCATGGTGCTCTCCCATTTCCTACCTGAGGATAGGGGTTGGGTCTGGATCACTCCTGTTCCCCAGCTGTCTGCTCGTTGTTTAATCACACAAGTGCGTGGTCTTGTCGTGAGCTTGTGGTGGTGGTGGGGGCAGTTTTTGTGTCTCCCCCACCCTTCATGAGTTGCCCCAGTGGTGGGTACAGAGGGAGGACCTGACAAGCACCTGGGCGCTTTTCTCCTGCAGGTTTGAGAAGATGGTCAGTGGCATGTACATGGGCGAGCTGGTCCGACTGATCCTGGTCAAGATGGCCAAGGAGGGCCTCTTATTTGAAGGGCGGATCACCCCGGAGCTGCTCACCAGAGGGAAGTTTAACACCAGTGATGTGTCAGCCATCGAAAAGTAGGTGCCTCCCCTCAAGGCTTTCTTTGGGGTTGGGGTAGGGGGACAGAGAAGAACAATGGGTCCCTCATTACCCTCTGAATCCTGGTTTGAGAGTCAGGGCTCTCTGGGTCGGTCTCCGCTGTCTTTGCTGACCCAGCCTGGGCTGCTGTCCCTGCACACCCCTGGTGGCAGCTCATTAAAGAGCCGTCTAGTGCAGATTAAAATAAAAAAAAAAAGAACCATCCAGTTAGTAGCAAATGCTTTGTGGATGATTTAGTTACAAAAGCTGCCTCTTCTCCTTCAATCTCCATCCCCACCACACATACACACACACACACTCACTCACTCACTCACTCAGGATAAGATTGAAGTCCAGGGAGTAGATGATCCTAGGGGTGGACAGGAGCCGACTGAGCCCAGGCCTGGGGCAATCTCCCTTGGAATATCAGGACCTTCTCCAGACGATGTTCAGGGGAACTCTAGGGACTTCAAGATAATTAGGTGTCCCCTGATGAAAGGGTTCTGTGGCCAGTAGGATTGGGAAATACTGCATATTTACCCTCCATTTAGAGTTGTACAGTACTCATTAGCATATTAAAGAAAACACTCAGTTCACTTTGGTTAACTGGTCATTTCCCGAAATTCTTCTCTGCCCGAAACACCCCACCCTGCCTTCCTTCCGACATTCTCTCACCTGTTCACAGCCACAGGTGTTTCCTGGCACAAGTCTGAGAAACACTGATTAATCAATGAGACAGAACAGATAGACACAGAAGGACAGAGTCCAGCCCACAACCTGACTGCTACCCATCTGGGCTAAGGACCTTTCTCAGCATCAGAAACCCAGAGTTTTCTGCCTCGACTGTTATTTGCAGGCCTTCACCCTGAGAGTGAAGAAGGTGAACTTGCTTTTGGGGTAGTTTGATGTACTTGGGTGGCTCCAAGTCTAAAGGACTCTTGTCCTGTGGCAGTTCTAGGCTTGGTTCGTGGTTCAGGAGACTCCTTGTAGCCATGTGAGGCCACCTGCTTAAAGCAGGGCTAGCTTGGTGCTACAAACGACCTTCCATGTCCGCACAGGACGGTCATCCCACTGCCTCTGCTGTGGTCCTGGAAATTTAGACAGAGCCAGTGGCATTATAGCTCTGGCCACTGGGAGAAGATGCTGATTTAAGTGGAAAGGGGTTTATCTGGACTTACTGTTACTTTGCATCTGAATCCTGGCATTTGTCCTAGGATCTCTCTTCTTCAGCAGAGATTGGTACAAAGCTACAGTCAACAGGGAGTCACGCTACTGAGTTTCCAACCATATCTCTTCTCAAGTCTCCTGGTCAGCTGCTGGGAAGGGAGGGAGCAGGAGACTCGTGGCTTGTCTTCAGAATCATTGACAAAGTCAGGAAATGCCTGCCTTTCTCTACGCCTGTTTTTGGTGTTGGCTCTTTGGTTACCAAGAAATAAAACCCATTTGAACTTGCTCAAGAAAGCATATATATTGGAATAAAGCCTATCTCAATAAAGCCTATTAAAAACATCCTAAAAGGGCAGATGTTGGAAGCGTTCTCTTTAAAATCAGGAGTAAGACAGTATTACCTTTTTTATTTAACATTGTCTTGGAGCCTTGGCTAATGTTTTGTTTGTTTGTTTTTAAAAAGAAAGAAAAA